GAAGACAAAGAATAGGTTTAGGAGAAATGAGGCACAGAGATGGAAAGTTAAAAGATTATGATCAAATAGAGGAAATTCAAAGTTCTTGAAGACAGAAGTGGAATATTTGTGAATGATGGTAATATGAAGGATACAAAATCATATCTGTGAGGCTGAAATGGAGTAGGTCATGGAAGTTGAATAGACTGAGGAACCAAGAAATTAGGGAAGTTGAGGAGACATCAAGTGTTAGATGATAAATTTTGAGCGAATCCATCTCAAAGGAGAAGCTGCTGAGTGAGATTCTGGAAATAAGAGGAAAATGTGAAAATTTCAATAAGGAACATGGAATATTACAACTCCACCACCTCTACCAAGGAATAAAGTTAAGGTGCAACCAGTAATGGAAAAGGATGCAGTGTAGAGGGAGCCAGAACTCAGTGAATGCCAAAACACAAAAGGAATTTTAAAAAATAAGAAGTTTAGATGAAAGCAAAATTATTAATTATGGATCAGGAAGACCTGAATGGAACATTCAGTAGTTAAGCTTGAGGGAGATAGACAGATGAAGTTGGGGAGAGAAGTTTGTTCTTTGACAGCTGTGGGTTTAGTATCACTGGGATAAGGAGGTAGAGGACAGCAGGCTAATGAAGATGGGCGCAAGCAAAGGAACAATGAAGTCAGCAGTGTACACAGACTATTAGAAGATTCAAGGTCAATGACTTGTATTGGCACAACACTTAACTTGCCCCACCTGCCCTGCTGCTGTGAATTGAAGTGAGCCTGATGGTGATTCACCCTAGATTCCTAGAACAATTGGGAAACTTCTTAAATAAGGAGCTGAGAAGTGTTTTGTTGCAGTCCAGAATTCCCTCACACCAGGTCCTACCACACTTTTTCAAAAAGGGAGATAGTTTGATCCCTCCCAGAGCTATTTATGCTTTCCTCCCTACTCAACTACCTTATAACATCTGTGTACATATTGTTTAACACTGCCTCCTACTTTACAGAGAAATATATAGTCTGTGAGCTCCTTTAACTCTTCTTTTCCACATCTCAAAAATCTCTGTATTTTCATTTACCCTGTTTAGTTCAACTTTCAGAGGATGAGAAAGCACTTCTTACCAAGGCAAATCTTTTTTATTTTCCCCTTGATACCATCTCTTATTTTCCCCCAGAGCGTATTCTACTGATCATTCACTCTTCTAAATCAGTTCTTTCTTTGTGGCCTACAAACATGCTTGGGTCTCTTCAATCCTTAAAAAATTTTAACTTGGTCTAACTTTCCTTTATCTCTTTTTCTTTTCACTGCTAAATTCCTAAGAAAGCGGTCTATGCTTGGTGCCTTCTCACCAACCTACTCACTCTCTGAACCCTCAAAATCTAGCTTCTGTCCTCACCATTCTATTAAAACTACTCTTTGAAAAGGTAACAAATGGTAATTAGTAAATTTCCTACCAGAAAAACTGGTGACCTTTTCAATCATCCTTGCTCTTTGCAAGCTTTTGACAATAATGTTGACTATCTCCTCTTCCTGATTATTCTTTTCTCCTTTGCCTTTCATGATATTGCCCCCTAGTTTCTGACAGCTCTCCCCAGTCTCTTTTGCTGTGTCACCATCTATCTCCCACCACCTAAATTTTAATTTCCCCAAAACCTCTTGTCTTAGGTCCTCTTTTCTTCTCTCCACACTCTCCCCCCGGGTGATGTCATTCATCTTCATGCTTCAGTTATCTCTGCAAAGATGACTCAAATCAAACCTGAATCCCTCTCCTGAACTCCAGTTCTGCTGTATCTCCAACTACCTTTACTTGGCTATGCTACTAACATCTTAAAATTCAACTCAGTGAATCTACAGCAACCCATACACCTCTAAACCTCCCTATTTCTGTCATTATGCCACCATTTCCCAGATCTGAAACCCATGTCATCTCTGACTTTTCTCTCTTACAAATACCATATCTAGTCAAGTATCAAGTTCTGTCAATTCTACTATATTTCCCACATCCATTCCTTTCTCTCTATTCCCACTGCCACTGCCTTGGTTCGAACCCACATCATCACGCACCTGGGCTACTGTAAATTTACAGATTATCTTCCTGTCTTGGGACTCCCCCTTGTAATTCATTCTTCATGCAGCTGCCCAAAATATACAGTATTAGTTTCCCGCTCAAAAACTTTCAGTAGCTCTTTATTACCTAACACAAAATTAGAATTCCTTAGCCTTGCTCCAACCTACTATCCAGGCTAATTCATATTAGCTCAGGAACTCAATATATCAGCCAAAATGGACTATTAGATATTCTCCCAACCTGACAGACCCTCTTCCAAGCTGTACCCTACATACACCTCTAAGGGACTCCCTCCTCATTTCTGTCATTCATAATACTTCTCTCCCTTCAAAGTTTAACTCCTCAACGTAGGCTTCTCTCATTTCCTCAGCTGACAGTTTTCTATCCTTATTCAAATGTTTCTAAAGTACATTGTCTGGGCATCTCTTTTGCTTCTATCACTTCCTGCCTTCTATTATACCTATCTGTACCTGCAAAATACACTCTAATAGACTAGAATTTTCTCAGGAGAGGAGATTTCCCATCTGGCTGATCTCCTGGACTTTATTAATGTCTATCTCCCTTAATTCATCTTCCTGCAAGTTTGAATCAACTCTGACCCTTCCTTCCTTCGCACTGGAGAGAAAAGAGTGGAGTACCTCCCAATCCTTTCTTTAAGGAAGGGGCCTAGTGCAGCCGTCTCATCAATTCCTACCCAGCTCCACTAGGTCTTTATCATTTCCTCACCCTTCCCAATCTTCAGTTTATTTTTATGTGTCTTCTCCAATTAGATTGTGAATTCCTTGCGGGCAGGAACTATGTTTTGCCTTTCTTTGTGTGCCCATTGCTTAGTATGTAGTGCCTGGCACATAGCAGGCACTTAATAAAGGTTGATTGGCTGACTGACTGGATTGATGATTGTTTTTTGCATCTTCAGCACTGGAGCAGTGCCTCATATATAACAAGGGCTTAATAAATACATGTTGAACTGAATTCAAATTTTTCAAAAATTCAAAAACAAAATTTGATTCTCAATAATCTCTCTATTAAATAAAGAAGTCATAGATGTTTCATCCAAGTATATAGATGCTCACTGTAAGGCAGCCACTGGGGGTTAATTCCCTTCTTCTTCCATCTCCAGTCCTCTCACAATGACTACCCCATCCTGAACCCTTTCCTCATCAGTGCAACCTTGGGCTTACTACTGCCAACAGTAATTGAAGGGGCACTGGTGCCCAAGGGACACTGGCCCCACAGACCTTTTATACCCCCATGCAGCAATAGCAGCAGCAACAGCACAACCACTCGGGCCAGTGTTGAGCCTACAAGACTGGGTACTGGAGCAAGGCCCAAGTAAAGACAGCTGAGCTATGGCCTATAGAGGCTGCTACTAAACAGCTGGCTGAGGGAAGGGTTGAAGAAGCCCAAGGAGGTCTTGGGAGAGGAAGGAAGTATAAAAAACATATCTGGCTTTTTGGGCTTAGCCTCTCTGGAAGCAGGTTGTTTCTACTCTAAATAAAACCTCCTACCCTTTTCTGTAATCTTCCATACCTGAAAACTTTCATTCCCTATGCCCAGACAGCTAAAGCCTCGATGACCAATCCCTAGTATCTCCCAATCTGTGATGTCAGAGATGGTAACCCAACCAAGCAATACAAAGAAAGAACCTGCCCCCTTCAAATAAAACCCATGGCCCTCTCTGCATGGCCCACTCTGCAATCTCTATGGTTAAGGTCCTGATATGGAGTACAGTTTGGCATACTACTCCCATGTGTCCTTCCCTTGATGCCCCTGACCCCCTGTTCCCAGCCCAAGGTAATAGTAATAGTGGCTAGCATTTACATAGCACTTTAAAATTTGTAAAACACTTTACAAATATCATCTCAATTTATCCTCATAACAACCCTAGAAAGTAGTTGCAATTATTATTATCCCCATTTTACAGATGAGGAAACTGAGGCAAACAGAGGTCAACTTAACTGCCTATGGGAAGACAGTTTGCAAGTATCTAAGGCTGGATTGAATTCAGGGCTTCCTGACTCCAAATCCAGAATCTATCCACTGTACCACCCAGCTGCTTTTAAGCCTTCTTTTGCATGAGATTTAAAAAAAAATATGCAGAAATAAAGGCTTTCAGCTTTAAGCATTTACTAGCCAGGGGTGGGGAACCTATAGCCTCAAAGCCACATGTAGTCTTCTAGGTCCTTGGGTGTGGCCTTTTGACTTTTTTACAGAATAAATCTTTTTATTCAGGGGATTTGTTCTGTGAAATTTAGATTTAGTCAAAGAGCCACCCTTGAGGACACAGAAGGCCACAGGTGGTCTGGAGGCCACAGATTCTCCACCCCTGTAACTAGTCTGTCTGATTCTTTGGGAGAAAACTCATGAAGTCTCCAGATAACTGCAATGAGTGAGACATGTCCAAATTAGGTCTCTTTGCCACACAGAGATTATACAGAGGTTTATTACTCTTAATAATTTATCACAAAATTCAGTGCAAAATTCCATGGATATGAAACAGTTGCTTTCAATATTTTAAATTTCCATTTCAGAATAACTGATTCATTATATTAACCTTTTCTCTGTATGTTGCTCTTTTGACAAATGACCTTAAAGCTGAAGTAGAAAGTTTACTTCTTTATTAATTCTCTTTTTTTCCTCTTCAAAAAGTTCAAATTCAGTTTTGAAAAGGACAATATTTGCTATAAGTTCTTAAAATGTACAAGTAGACTAGTTTTACTACTACACATCTGTAATTCATTATGTCTTTCATACATTATCTCAGCTGATCTTCATAACAACCCTAAAAAATTAAATATTATTATACCCATTTTATAGACCAAGGTGTTGGATCAGAGAAGGTAAAGTGAGTTCTCCCAAGTTACACAACTATAACTAGAAGACCCAAATCTTTTGACTACTATGCCTTTTTTTTTAACTATATTCTGTTGCCTCTATAACATAATTTACCTTAAAAATAAATAGTTTTCAAAACAGTTAATTGGGATTTCAAAATTCATTGTCATGTCATTTTTTCTTCTCTGGATATTCATAGCTTTCCCACTCTTTCCAACCTCCAGGATAGTGCCGAGCACTGAAAATAGACATGAAACAATTAGTACTATCAATATTGTTATTAAAAAATAATACCAGTGAGAGAGAAATGACATATAACTATTTACCACTTACCTTTTACATCACAAAGAGTAATAGGCTTTTAACTTGTGGTAAATTATACTTATATGATGAAATGATAACTGAATAAATTAAAAAGTAAATCTTTACCCATAATACGTTGCTAAAATAATTAATTATAGGAAAGCTAAAAAGTATGTAAATCTCAGTTGAAAATGACTTCATCAGAAAATCTGAATTGAGTCAGCTCTGCTGCATTATCTGCTTACCTTTTGTAACCTAATGATAAGGCAGTATTTAGAGCTTTCTTGCTTCTCACTCCTCCTAGACAAGAAAACACCAGGGTGTCAGACTTAGAAGGCATATCTTGATTGTACTTCTTTTTAAAGTCCTCTGAATCCATTTGTAGAGCTTGATCTATTTCACCCACTGAAAGAAAACATTTAAAAATTCAAAATGAGTTATACGGATAATTGTGAAATGTGAAAATGTCATACAGAATGTCTGCAAGGTCTTAGTGCAGTTTAAAGGTTAAAAACTGCACTAAGGGGGGCAGCTAGGTGGCACAGTGGATAAGAGCACCAGCCCTGAAGTCAGGAGGACCTAAGTTCAAATCCGGCCTCAGACCAAACATGACACTTACTAGCTGTGTGACCCTGGGCAAGTCACTTAACCCCCATTGCCTGAAAAACAACAACAAAAAAAAACTGCACTAAGACTTTTAGAACACCCTGGTATTAAGTATATTATAATTAATTTTAAGGAAGGCAACACTTACATGGTATATTGAGAAACCCTGGAATTTTTCCATATTCTAGAATTTCCCATGGCTCCCTAACATCAATCAACAAATTGGATTTGGAATGTAGCAAATTTTTCAGTTCTTTGTAGGTGACACTCTGAGAAGCAGCAGTACAGAAATTATGGTGGACTTCTTCTGATGATCTCAACGCTAAAAAAAATTCCCAAAATGCAAGTTATTCCAGAATCTTAGGCACTGTGGTAATGATATCATTAAAAGGAGAATCTGACTATAAGAAAAGAATCAATGGCTTTTCAGCTAACTAAAGGGAAAGGGATTCCTTATAATATATGGTGTAAAGTAAAATATTCATCTATAAAAAGTCTTTGGTTGGGATGCATCTCAGACCAGTAACTTTTTAAGTTTAGGGTACTCTAACTGAAGGAATTGTTTGAATTGAGGCAGATCAGAAACTTGTCCTTAATTTATAATCTTAGGACCAGGAACTCCAGTTCAGACCTGGTTCATTTGCTAATGGACTTTGGAGCAGAGTCACACTCAAAGAATGCGGGAGGCAAACGGCCAGTGGATTTGGTGCCCCCGAATAGCACCCTAGCACAAGTATTCTCCCAGAAAGAAGGGCCTCTGTGTTTGATGCAGATTTGCCGACTACGCATTAGAAGTGCTTTGGAATCAAACAGCATCATAGAATAAGTGAACTACTCCTTCCCGAGGAGCTGAAATTATTTCTCTTACACATCTCAACCTGTTCTTGTTTCCATAAATAAGAGGCCAACACATTAGCATATTAAAATCATCCCTCTTTAAAAAAAAAAAGAAGAAGAAGAAGAAGAAAAGTGTGGGGCTGACTAGTGGCATTGTTATTTTTGTGCCTTGTATTTCCAGAATAAAGTCGGATTATGTTGGAAAAAAAATATCTGTGATCTTAGAAATCTGCCCAAGGTCAACTTGCCCATGGTCACAAAGCCAATATATAACAGAGACAGGACTTGTCCCCAACTTTTCCTGGCTTTGAGGGCAACCCTTTATTCATTACACCATGCTGCCTCTATAATAAAAATGGTAAGGTAAATTTTAATTGGGTATTGATATAATAAGTAATCCCATCCAGAATGGGCTCATTTTCCCCTTGAACATAACTTTGGTTCTTAATATTGCTATTATGAGTCTAGTGGAATATTAAAACTATGAAATGATGAAAATTAAAATGGTAAACATAATCACCACTTTCAAAAGGCGAAATTTTCTATCTCCTTAAAATTAGACCTCTAGGGGCAGCTAGGAGGCGCAGTGGATAGGGCACCAGCCCTGAAGTCAGGAGGACCTGAGTTCAAATTCGGCTTCAGACCAAACACTTGACACACACTAATTGTGTGACCCCAGGCAAGTGACTTAACCCCAATTGCCCAAAAGTGAATGAATGAATAAATAGACCTCTAAATCCATAGGACAGTTCCTCAAACACTTATTCCAGTTTTCTTCTAAACAAACCACAGGACTAAATCTTTACACCTTATTTTAAAGTATAGTAGGAGAAATCCTAATCCCACACCCATGTAAATTAGGCTGGTTTTTCCTTTAAAAGTACTGAAACTTTTCATAAGAGTTGATTGGCTCAAGGGACTAAAGGTTTAATCTGTTGATATCACTTCCTGGTGGCTTGAATACAAAAACATCCATGAGGGACTCTAGCCTCACTCTAAGACTTGGCTGGAAGACCACCATCAGAAACTCAACAGGCAGGGGAGTTTCAGTCAACTGAATCATCCCGAAGTGTCTCTGACATATATCCTTGTTGAATATCTTTCCCTAGGAGCATCTCATTTCATTTCCAATATGGACACTAAACTACAAAGGGACTGGCTGGAGTAAGGTGAGTCAGAACAAGTGAGTTTTAGGCACAAAGATTATCCCTATTTATCACTGCCACAGCACTTAAATTCCAAAGCCTCTGATCCCTATCTGTAAAATGGGGGTAATAACACCTACATATACAATTCTCAAAGAGCTGTCCGGCTCAAACTAAATAATGTTATGATGTGCAGATCCAGGGAAATAAATGTATATGAAGCACTTTGTAAAACTTAAAGTGCTACATAAATATGAAATGCTATTATTACCTCATGAAGAAATATTAAGAAACTTTTTGCAGCCTTCATTTAGGCTCTCAGCAGGCTTTGAGTCCAGAAAGGAAATGTCTTGAGCCTCATCAGTAAACCTAGAGACTGATCCCTGGTTGAGGTGGGCTCTTTAAAGCCTAGTATCATTAACAGTCATGTGAGAATCAGTAGGCAGAAATGTTCTTTTGAGGGGCTGCTAGGTGGCGAAGTGGATAGAGCACCAGCGCTGAAGTCAGGAGTACCTGAGTTCAAATCTGGTCTCAGACCAAACACTTGACACTTACTCGCTGTGTGACCCTGGGCAAGTCACTTAACCCCAATTGTCTAAAAAGAAAAAGAAAAAAAAAAGAAATGTTCTTTTGACAGAAAGAAGCTATCATTTCAAATAATATAAAATAGGGCTATGCTCCCTTCCTTTTAACTTATATTTAAATATAACTAGCAACTGCCATCAGATGAATTGGATACATACCCTCTAAGCCTCAAGCAGGAAGATAAGCTGAAGACTAAGTTTTATTATCTAGAACTAAGAGCAAGTTCTTTAAAAACAGCTAAATTTAGTTTCCCACCCACTAATGAAATCACTGATCCAAGAAAAAAACAAAACAAATAAAAAAATATGTTTGTTGGTTAATTATTGTCAGCAGCAGTAACTTAGGACTAAAATGTACCTCTATTTCATTTGGTCCTCTCAACAACCTGTGTGTTATGGAGAGTGGCTATCATTATTTCTAAGTTCCCTTTTTTAATCTATGGTTCTATTTTTAAATTATGCTTCCTCTCTCCCCCCTCCCCTTTCAATACTAGAAAGTGGCTAGTTCAATGCAAGGAAAGTTTTAGAAGTCATTCTGGGTAAAGTGAGTCTTGGAAACAACTAAGATTTAAAACTATTATGATCTTCTAGTAATGTCATTTGTTATCAAAGAGTCCTGCTGTCATGTATAGCACTGAAAGGCTGATTGGTCTCTTGTGGAAAGGAATTCCTAATCTTAAATGTTTTACCTTTCCATAAGGTAGGCTCTTGTGACTAAAAAAGAAAGCCCACTATGCAAATGCCCCCTCTAGGTCAGTATGACTTGATCCTCCAATATTCTTATTATTTGATGACTGAGGAGGTAAGGTTAGGGAATAGAACAGAAAAGCATTAACTGCTTATTATGTGCCAAGCACTAGGTAAACAAATATAAAAACAAGATAGCTCATATTCAAACGGGAAGAGACAACACACAAAGAAGGGCTCATTTCATGTTCAGTTCATAGCAGAAAGGCCTGATAGTACTAGGTTCTAGTGGGGAAAGTATCAGGACAGATGACAAGGCCCCAGGATACTACTTCCAGATGAATCAGGAGATCTAGGAGTCAGCACCCAGCTGATAGTGGACATCCTATACGTGGAGAGAATTGGGCAATGAGGCAACAAACGTTGGATTATAATCTCCTAACATGTGCTTTTAGTTGTAGAATTATGTTCATGATTCAATTCAAGGTTATAACCTCTATGATGTTCTGGGAAAATATCTGTCTTACAGGCAGAGTGATTTGAAAAATTAAAAGATGTGATACTGGCTCTGGTCTCTGTGAGCCAAAGTGAAATACAAGAATCTAGTGAAGTTTTCTAAAATCAAGACCCCCACCTTAGTGTATATTTATTTTCTATAGGAAGATTCATTTTAATTAAAATTATTCCATAATTTCTTATGAATCATGTGGCTATAAAGAACCAGCCATGCTGAATCTGCACTTGCCATACAGTTCATCATTTTAAAAAAACATATGAAATTAAAACAAAAATATATTTCATAAGTTTCAAAGTTCAAGTAGAAGCTAACATTCTCCTCATATTATTTTTTTCATAACACAACACTGATTGTGCTTTGATCTGTATACTCTACCTGAACAAATCAATGGGACTCACAGAGCTTAAGTATTCACATTTGCTGATGTTTGCTGCCTAGCATTAATGTTAGTTGAAAGAAGATTGGTCTCTTTTTAAAAACAGAATAATGTTGAAAATTCATTTGTGTAATTTCAATATAATAGCTAATATTTATATAGCACTCACTATGGCACTGTGCTAAGTGCTTTACAAAGGTTCTCATTTGATCTTCACAGCAACCCCAGAAGACAGGTGTTACTAATTATCCCCATTTTGCAGATGAGGAAACTGAAGCTGGCCCAGGTTAAGTGACTTGCCCAGAATCACACAGCTAGTAAAATCTGAGACAGAATTAGAGCCCAGCCCTCTAACCACTGTGCCCCTAGCTGCCAATATTATAACGAGAACTAATTAAGCATCTAAAAAGCTTTAGGAGCAATTAGTAGGATAGTATTTTCTTTTCAGAATAGATGTGATACTTCATTGATATAAGGAACTCTAATGATGAAGAATGCCCTGTCTTTGCAAATCAGCATCTGCTCTGCAACTTACAGTCATGGAACTAATGCATGTCAGAGATAAGCCATGAATCCAGGACCCACCCAATTCCTAGGTCAGTTCTTGATCCACTATGCCATGCTGCTTCCAGGATAGCATATATGGAATAGTTAATCAATCAACAAGTACCTATTAATCACCTACTTACGTGCTAAGCACTGTGCTTCCTGGAGGAAGAACAGAGTTCAAATCCAACCTCAGATATTTGCTGGCTATGTGACCCCGGGGAAGTATATCTAAAATAAATAAATACCAGATAATTTGGGGAGGGAGGGGCAATCAGGAAAGACTTCACTTAAAGAGGGTGGCCCTGACCTGAGTTTTAGAGGGAATGATGAATTCTAAAAGGCAGAGATAAAGTTTCAAATTCTAGGCCTAGGAGATGGGATTCTCCAGCAGTTAATCATTTTGACAAAAACCAGTTCAGACTCAACTTGTCCTTTCAGTATAGCTTGATTTATTCACCAAAGCCCTTATAACAACAAAAAAATCTCCTTCCTCTTTCTCCCCAAATAAACTCTTCTTTCCTCTCCACCCCAATCTTAAACATTGATATTTGGCAAGTGAAAACATGAAAAATTGCTTTCCCAAAGCACATACCCAAGAAAATTCTGCCTAGTTAGGCAGGTAAAATTTAAAAGATTCTGGCATGCAATCAAACACTGCACTGGTACAGAAAAATACAGGATCTGGGTTTGGAGAATCCAGGTTCCTATCCCAAATCTGCTGCTTACTACTTACATGAACTGGGATACTTCACATTAATTTCTCTGTTTCCTCATCTGTAAAATGAAAGAGGCTGGTCTATATAGTCTTTCTAGCTCTAAATCTATAATCCAATAACCAATAATTACAGACCCATAAGATCATGAGAGACTGGTATACCAGTGCTTCTGGCAACATTGGAAAAAGGATACTCAAGTGTCACTGTATTTACATCCGGTAGTCCAAGTCAACCAAAAATTCAACGAAGAAAAGATAGGACTCGACCTGGAGCCAGGTTATCTTAAACTGGGGAGATAGAAAGTACCTAAAACAGAGCCCCCCAGCTCTGCCGATGGCATGCTCAAATGTAACTTAGTCAAAAAAGGGAGTCAGTTTGCTATGAGTTGAGGCCAAGGCCATGACCAATGGCGAAGGTAATTTCTTCGGCGCCCAGAATTTACTCTGTATGCACTAACGACAAGCTGAGGCCTCCAGTATTTTATTTATCCTTTTCCACTCTCCTCCATGCGCATCCCTGGAGAGACCCCCGATCCCGGGGATTCCGCCCACTTGGCTAGAGACACAAAGAAAGTTCAGGGTCTCTTCCTGTTTTCGAAGCCAACCTCACCGCCTCGCCAGGGTCTCGACTTTGTGGGTCCACCCTCTCGTCCTCAGCTTTTACCGTCCCGAATAGGCGCATGAAGCGTGTACTCACCCTTCCAGGCGGCCGCTGATCTGGGGGCTGTCCCTTGCCCCAGAAAACAGCGAGCAGAGGCTCCCCAAACTCTCGAGCCCCAGGCAGCCCTGACCGCGCTCCTCAACTGCAGCAGCGCTCTCGGGGACATGGCTATGGCCCGTCTCCTCCGCGCGGCTCACACCGTCCACCCCCGCGCGCTCTCCCGGCTCTGCCTGGTCTCCTCGGCCCAGAGTATCTCTAAACCGAGCAGCTTCAGCAGGCATGCTCAGCTGACCTACCCGGCTCAGCTCACGCTTTAAGAGGCGGTGCCACGGCCCCATCCCCACCCTCTCTCTCCACTCAGCGCTTACCGCCCAGGGCCCCGCCCAGGCTCCGCCCGGGGGCGAGGCTGGGTGTCTTCCTAGTTATTTCATTTTACTGATGCTTGGTTTTGTTTTGTTTTGTTTTTTTAATAGTATAGATTCCTTGAGCTAGAGCCGAAAGCATCCTCAGAGGCCATCTAATCCAAATTTCCTGTTTACAGATCAGGAAACTGAGGCCCAAGGTAGTTGAGTGATTTGCCCTAGGTAATACAAATGGGAAGCAAAAAAGGTGGGATTCAAACCCAGGTCCTCAGACTCCAAAATCAGTGTTATTTTATTTGTTATTTTATACTTGCATAAATCAATTGACAGGAACATTTCCATATGCAAAGAACAACAGGAAAGAGATTGTACATATGAAACTACAAATTCTCCATTGGATCATTTTTTTTGCATAGGGTTGTTGATAGTTCACTTTCTCCACTTGAACACTGCCTGTATCTATCCTTTGACCATTTATCAACTGGGGAATGGCTTTTGTTCTTATGTATTTGAATCAATTTTCTACATTTATATTAAGGCTATAACAACTTTACCAGAGAAGGTTTAACTGTTTCACTTCTAATTTTGTCTGTATTAATTTGATTTGTGCATAAACTTTTCCATTTTATTTATTCAAAACTGTCCATTTTGTTTCCTGTGATCTTTTCTAACTTCTATTTGGTCAAGAACTCTTTTTCCTGTCCATAGTTGTGAAAAGTATCTCTCTGCGCTTAAATTTGTATGACTCTTTATATCCAGCCATATGTATCCATTGGGAGTTTACTGTGTTGCATGATGTGAGATGTTCTAAACCTATTTTCTATCGGACTGCTTTCCAATTTTCCCGGCATTTTTTTAAATAATGAGTCCTTACCACCTATATTTAGGGTCCTTGGTTGTTTGGTTTTTTAACATTCTGCTGCTGTACCTCTTTTTGTAGTGGCAAAGAACTAGAAACTTAAGGGAGTGCCTGTCAACTGGGGAATAGTTAAACAAATAATGGTATATGGATGTAATAAAACACTATTGTGGTCTAAGAAATGATGAAGGGGACTGTTTCAGAGAAACTTGGGGAAACTTGCATGAATTGATGGGATGTGAAGTGACTATAACCAGGAAAACAACAGCTGCAATGCTTCCAATACGTATTATTCCAAGCAAACTTCAGGTTTCTGTCAAGGTAAAATGTCATATTTATTGCAATATCTTCTGGTACAGTAGTAGTTTGGGACTGGTCCACATTAGCCTCATTCCCTACTGCCATGGCTTCTACCCCTGAGGTCTAGTGTTCAGACTGGACCAACTTTCTGAAGGCTTTGCCAACCCGGAAGCCTGTGAGAAAACTGGCAGAGGCTGAGCAGCTACTCAAGGCCATGGATGCTGCCACTATTTATGTATTTCTTAACCATTTAACATATACAAAACTATGCTACCATTTTATAGAAAGGTCCCTATCTTTTTTTGTGTGTGTCGCTGATGAAGTTTCAATCATTTTGTCCTGACTCTATTTTCCCCATAAGCTGTGGGTTTTGTTGCCTGATTTTTGCATAGCACAGTGCTTTTCATTATAGGAGAACTGCCTATTTGTTAGAAAGTTTGTATTGATAGAAGGGTTTTGTCAGAGGTGGGAGGGAGGGAAAATAAATTTTTATTAATTGAAAAAAATTAAATAAAAACCATTGCTGCTATGTTCATTTGCTTCTGTATCTTGTGTACCTAATCTATTCTCCTGATCAACTTTTTTAAAAATTTTTTTAAGAAGGACCAAATAGTTTTGATAATTACTGCTTTGTAGTATAATTGGAAACCTGGTACCATAGGGCCAATTTCCTTCCCTCTTTTTTTTCTTTTTTTGATTATTTTCAAGGGTGTGCTGAAGCTAGTTCCAATAGGCTTGTGAGAGCCAAATGTTAAATATTCAGTATGAGCACATATGCCTCAGAAATCAGTAAAACTAGAAATCAGGGCTCGATTTGTTGTTTTCTTGATTGTCTAGCCTTACAAAAGTGATGGCAAAGCTATTAATAATGCACATTAAGCTCAAAACTGTATGTTAAGATTTTTTTTTTCAGAAAGCCAGCTGTCAAACATTTACCAGCATACCCCTGCTTATTTTCTCTCCCATTCCCCACCCAGTAGCAAATAAAAACAAATTTCTTATAACAGGTATGCATAGTCAAGCAAAACAAATTCCCTCAATAGCTGTATACAAAATTATATATTTCTTATTGTGTATCCTTAATCTATCACCTTCACTTCTCTGTAATAAATAGCATTATTGTGTTCCAGAATCATTAATGGTCATTGTACTGATCTAGTTCATACAGCTTTCAAAGTTATTTGTTTTTATAGTTTTGTTATTGTATAAATTGTTCTGGTTATGCTCATTCGATTCCCCATCAGTTTATAAAAGTCTTCATAATTGTTAGTTTTTATAATGATATTATAGTATAAATTGTTTTTGTTGTATTCACTTCACTCTGTATCAGTCCATTCTACATCTCTTTGAGATCATCTATTTTTTCATTTCTTATAGCACTATTAGTATTCCATCACATTCACATATCAAGGGGCAGCTAGGTGGTGCAGTGGGTAGAGCAACGGCCCTGGATTCAGGAGGACCTGAGTTCAAATCTGACCTCAGACACATAACACTTACTAGCTGTGTGACCCTGGGCAAGTCACTCAACCCCATTGCCTAGCAAAAACAAAACAAACAAAAAACATTCACATATCAATCAAGACTTATTTAGCCATTCCTCTTAGCCATAAAAAAACAACTCCAAACTTCTACTAACTAGAGAAATGCAAATTAAAGCAATTCTGGGATTCTCCCTCATACCTATCAGTGTAGCAAAGATGACAAAAAATGAAAATTACAGTGTTGGAGAGACTGTGGGAAAACTGGTATGTTGATGCACTATTGGTGCACCTGTGGATGGGTAAAATCATTCTGGAAAACAATGTGGAATGCTACATAAAAAGTAACTAAATAGAGGGTGTTCTTTGACCCACCATAGCTATACCACTGCTAGTTCTATATCCAAAAGGAATCCAAGAAAGAGGAAAAGTCTTTTATGTACAAAAATATTTATAGCCACTCTTTTTGTAATGGCAAAAAATTGAAAACTATTCATATGTGCATATATACACATACATACAAGGGTATCTAAAAGTCTTACTGCAGTTTTAAGTTTTAATAGCTTGAGAGCTTAAAATGGCACTAAAACTTTTGGGATACCCTGCATAACATATATACATTATGTATGTGTGTGTAAACATGTGTATGTGTAAGTATATATACACATATCTATTTTTTTTCTGCTTCTTGGGGAGGCAATTGGGGTTAAGTGACTTGCCTACGGTCACACAGCTAGTAAGTGTCAAGTATCTGAGGCTGGATTTGAACTCAGGTCCTCCTGACTCCAAGGCCAGAGCTCTATCCACTGTGCCACCTAGCTGTCCCTACACATATCTATTAAGTCTTTATGTCTGTTCTGTGTTTGCCTACTTGGTCTAGAAAAGAAACAAAAATTTCGTCAACACTTGGATTACCTTTATGATAAACCTGTCAGAAGCTTTTAATCTACAAGCTGGCACATCAACTGGTAGAAATGCTCACAAAATTTCCATTTTGTAAACTTACCCAGAATTAAGTTCTATGATGAAACCTGTGGTAGTCAATAACAGATAATAGGTCTTATAGATTAGGCCAGTGGTGTCAAATAGAAACACAGCCACTAATCTATACCGAATGATCCTCGTGGACCACATATTGACTTATTTTTAAAATGTAATGTTATCTGTGTTTTATTGTATTTTTTTAAAAAACATTGTTAAATATTTCCAATACATTTTAATCAGGTTCAGGTCAAGGGTCATGTGTTTGACACCTCTGGTCTAGTCCATGATAGTAACAGCAACTTACATTCGTGTGTACTTTAAGGTTTACAAAGCACATTCCTTACAACAATTCTCTAAAGTAGATAGGGTTTTCAAAATTGTATTATTATGTTTCAAAGTTTGTATTATTATACCTATATTTCAGATGAGGCAACTAAATTTCAGAAAAGTGAATCAATTTTACCAGGAGCACACAGTTAGAAATTGTCAGAGCCAGGATTCAAATCTATATGGACTCTAATCTTGAAGGACCATGTTCTTTCTATTTATACCATATCCCCTATTAAATTATCTCATATTTGTGTAGTGCTGAGAGATTTAAGAAATAAGCAAGGCTCCTGGAAGGATGACAAAAATAATTCGTCTTGGAAAATAGATTGCTATGAATTTAGGAGGAATGTTTGTTCCTTATCCCATAATAAGTAACTTTTATAAAGTTTACTATTTCTTTGCTTATCTTAAAATTCTTCCTAACCTAGTTCCCAAATTTGCTGAAGAATTGCTTTGTGAGTTGGTGTCAACAGAAACACGTTAAATAGCTTTTATTTAACTACATTTCCACAGCAATAATTTTTTAAATTAATATTTTTTTCCACAATTTCTGTATTGTATCATCAATCATGCATTTTATTTACTAGTTTTATGTCCAGTTAAACATTTAAAAAATTAAAGAATTTATTAATTACCTGGAGCTTGGCTGCACTCTGTAATTCATCTCAGTTTGCTTTAACTTTGCTCTCAGCTTTCATCACATGCTTTGGGATCTTTTATTTTCAAATGATATCACTCAGCTCCATCCATGGGTTATGCACTTACTCCTGGGTAAAATGTATACAAATAATAGTAACACTAGTTACCTACAATTCAGGCTTAGAGCTCCAGTTTCTAATATTTTGATTCTGAAAATGAGATGAAATCCAAAGACTAATTTTATTGCAAGATTGGTTAAAGAATGTAAAATACTCACTTGCTTTGATTGAGGAAATTTAGCCCCGCAAAAAAAGGGAGGGGCGGGGCTAAATTAATGAAAGAATTAAAAAACCA